TTCCTTTCCCTTTTTCTTCGTTGGGGGAATTAGAGAAGGATGTTGTTGCGTTGCTGAAGCGGGTTCAGGCGTTCTCTAAGACTCGGGATTGGTGCTCGTGCAGCTGCTCACATCTTCAGCAGAAAAGGGTTCGCTATAGCTAGAGGGGTGGGGGCCTAGATTGTATCTCGGCTCCCCACCCATTTCTTGTAAATTGATTGACTTTGTGGGTTTTTTTATAAATAATAATAATAACTCAAATAATAATAATAATAATAATAATAGTAATAATAATAATAATAATAATAATAATATGTTATAAAATAAGCAGAAATATAAGAGATTGAGATGGAATTGATCTCTATATTCTACTTGTATTTTTTATATGATGAGGTATACATATATATATATATATATACACAGTACAATTGATAGGGTTTTCTTGGAGAATAATAAACCCTAAAATCTAGAAAGTTCTAGAATGATACAAGATGGACATCCACAAATATGTTTAGATAAGAATAAACCCTACATCCAGAATATTCCGGAATGATAAAGGAGTATAATGGTCATCCACACAATATTTCATAACACTCTCCCTTGGATGTCCATTATCGAAGACTGTGCCTCGTTAAAACCTTATTAGGAAAAACCCTATGGGATAAAAACCTAATGAAGGAAAAAGAGTACAACATTCTTCGTAATACGCTCGAGATGTTGCCTCATCAAAAACCTTACCAGGAAAACCTGATGTGGGACAAAACCATGGTCAAGGAAAAAAGAGTGCAGCGCGTATTTTCTCCCCCTGATGAATACATAACTTCATATCTTCTAGTGTCACAGCAATGAATCCAATAGGTTGAATATCTTCTCATGTGTAGTATAATATCACTCGTTAATCTTCGATCCTCCTAAATTGAAATTGATCTTCAAGTCTTCACGTGAACATGTGAAGTGTATTCATTTCACCGTACATGGGTTTATCTCTAATATCATTATTTCAAATCTCTGTTTAATAGTTGATTTAAAGGTTAAACTTATGCGGTTATAACTTCTGCAGGAAGTCTTTATTGATGATCATTATTTGATCAAACATTCATTAATAATAATTTGATGACAAAACTTGATATTGTTAATGTCGTTCTTCAATTTTATATGAATTATAATATAACACATGTAATTATATACGCTAATCATGGTTCTTCTGGACCATAAGAAAACATTCTCATGCATAAGTATTCCATTGATGTTCTTTAGACGTTTCATAATTGACGCGATAGCTCTCTTGCAAATACAAACAGTAAATCACTAACTCTCATATGCTCAAACTTCAGGTTGAGATGTCAATGATGTAGTTACATATACTCTTCAAGAGTTTGATAGTAATTGCAATATTCAATATATAAACTTTGTAGGGCTGGATATTTAAATATACTGTTATAAGTTCTTCAGGAACTCGTGATTCATAACATGCAATTAAATTAATGTCATCAATAATTTCATTATAATTATAAGCCCATTGAAATATAAATATCTCTTTCTAATTTTTCATCAAAGTTGTAAATATGTCTTACTATATTTTGAAGGAACATTCACATACACCATAGTCATTATAAGAAACTAATGCATGCAACATGAGATATAGATACATGATAACATACTAAACAAATTATACAATGAATAATGACCTATGACTCACACATGTATATTAACATACATACTACTCTAAATAATGCAAGACACTGTACAGTGTGGATTTTAAAATCCATATTTCATTGGACTTTTTGTCCATGATAAACTTTAATTATTATCATTATGTCGACATCAAAATAGACAATTATTTCAGATCCCTTATTCACTAGTTCATTATATCATGCATACGCATTATTTATCGGTTCCATCATATGCTAGTATCATCATATAATTCCTCAAGGTACAATTTTAATTTGCTTGCTATTTTGACAATGATATCTGAATACATTTTTCATTGGTACCATCATAATTTTTCTTACATCATATGCAATCTATTGTAATAGTTCAGATATCTACACAACTTCAAAGATATTTAATACACCTGGTATTAATATACTATTTACACTATTAAAAGTGTCAACTGCACTATCTTGCCATATATCACATCTTTATTTTGGAACCGATTATACAATCTACACTTCAAGTGTAGTGATTCAAGTATATACAATTGACAAGCTTTATCTCAATATGCAATATATCTTGATAGCATATGGACGAAAGTTAGCTAGAAAACATTTCAAATTATCATTATATATATAGGGATCATCAGTTTAATTAATTTTTTGCCAACTTACTTCAATTCTCCCCCTAAGTTGGTAAAATATCTCACATATAGGGGTATCACAATTCTTTACCTTAGTGTACAAATTTGCAATAAAATGCATTTCATGGGAGGATCATAATCAACAAAATTAATCTCTCAGAAGAATTATATTAAACAAGCTTTTATCTTTTCTAGAGAGCAATTTTAAAACATTTCTTCATTAACTATACATTCCATACCGCATATGTATTTTTTTATTAATCTTTCATAATTTGTTCTCTTCAGAAAATCTAAAATTCAACATCAATGGGGAGACATATGTTGTGCAGCTGATTTTTTTATTTTTTTTTTCTATTTCTTATGTGCTGACATATTATAGCCCAAATCAAAAGAATTGTTGTATAAGCATAAATCACTTGCATGTAATTTTACTAGTTGGTGATCTTCTAGATCTTTAAAGACTTAAATAGTATATTTGGTGAGCCTCTGGTCACCTGATAGTTGACAATAATATATAATTTAAGTTACTTTGGTGAACTTTTGGTCACCCATTACTCTTTCATATAAGAAATCAAACTTATTAACTCTTGAAATTTTCATCAATACAAATTATTATGAATCATTATCCAAGTATAGTTCAATCTCAATGTTATGTCTTGCCATTCAATTCATTTCATATGTTTAACATTGAGAGAGCGTCAGCACATTATCACATGAAACTTCAGGTTTCCATAACGGGTAAATATTAAACCCGGATGGCCTAATTTAATTATCACATCCAATCACTTCTCTAAATTTGAATTTTTGATCAGTTTTCCAATACTAGTGATCACTTTAAAAAACTTATTTTATGCATGGCCATGAATATGATGTGATATTAAAACACCAACATGTGTTTCTTTTTACAATTGGCTAGGCAATCACTTTTTTTTTTTAAATTTTATTTCATCATTATTTCAATAATTACTCATACTCTGCTAGAGTTTTGACTATAATCTTGATATATGTTAATCTTGTTGGACGTTTCATACTCTTCAGGATTCTTTTATGTAATCATGGAACACATGAACTTTACTAAAGTGATTTCTTCTAGAAATATATTGGGATTTATCACTTCCTCAAATTTGTCATTGTCAATAGTGACTCCTTTCCTTTTCGAAGATACTTAATCATCTTTAGAACTTATTGATCTATCACGCTTCAGACGTGCTATAGGTTCATCAGCAATTGATGTCGTCCTTCAGGGACATCAATTTTAATTGGAGCATTTACAGTACAATTAGTATATGAGTAATATGACAATGAAATTTATTTATATCCATCTTCAGGATGGTATCATTTCAAAATATTTAATTAGCATGTGGCCACCACTATTAAATAAATCATTAATATTTAGGCTATTGCATGTACCACACTGACCATCAATATATTTAATTATTCATGTGCAAAAATTACATAAAAACAATGGAATAAACACTATCTCCCCCTAATCCTTGCATATGGGTATAAAAACAGTCCAACAATCTTTAAATCCCTTGCTCTTTTAAGTTAGCAATATCATATATCAATCAAAGTTAAATTTCTCTTGTAAAAGTCATGTAATTATTTTATTGATCAGTTGCTCACAATTTCATGTCATGTTGTATTTCATAAACTCATAAAAATTATTTCTCGGTCAAATAGTTGAAATATAATAATGTTTGTAATTTTTATTGAACTTTTCAATGATTTGATGACAAAAACATCATGCAAACATGCTTCTTTCCAATCATACAAATTCTCATTCACATCTGGGAGTGAGTAAATCTAGTAATTTATAAATAATCAATTTTGACCTTGAGTTTGATATACTTTTCAAAACTTTTGTATATTCTTTCTCATGACACTATATTTATAAAATCACATTAGTATTGTGAAAATAATAGGAATTTCTAAGTCACATATATATATATCTTCATATTATTATTATTGGGAAATTCTACATGGTGGCCTCCTACTTTTAAGTTTTCCACGTGGGAGACGAGCGATTTTTTTTTAATCTCTAAAGTGACATCTAAATTTCTTTAATTTACAATTAGTGGCCTAATTGTCATTAAATGGGCTAACCATCTCCTAAATGGCTCATTTAATAACTAAATTTAACAAAATTACTAATCTAACCCTGATTTAATTAATCCCCTCCCCTTTTTATTATTAGTTTCCTGCCTAACATCAATTCCCCTTTTCCAATTCGTTTTCTAGGGTTTCATCTGCAATTTCAATTGCGAAAAAAAAGCTCTGCAATTGCATTTGGGTAAGGATGAATTATCGAGGACTGTCTTCAAGGAAGAAGGACACATCTGATGCAATTGTGAGTTATTATGATGCTTCAGCAAATTCAGAGATTGCTGCAATTGTGTTCTTGTTTACATGAAATGATTTACTCAGGGTAATGAAGGGAAAGGGGTAGTATGGGTAGCAAGTAGGTGAATCCTAAATTGTATGGGTTTTATGCATGAAGTTATGTAATTCTTCTGAGTATAAATAAAAATTGGGATTGGAAGTTTTATTGTCTATTACATTTAATGGATGTTTATTTATGGTATTTTCTTTGGTTATGTTAATTTAGCCAACAATTTTATGGAGTATGTTACAAAACAGATTGAAAAGCAGAATATGACTTTAAATATGATATCAAAAGCCTGTTGCAATAATCTCATATGAAATGATAGCAACTAATATGAAATGATATTTTGCATAAAATATGATATCAAAAGCATGTTGCAATGTCAAAATACAGGACATTAAAGGATTTAGTCAAAATACATATCATATATGTATCTTAGGCTCCCGAAAAAAAAAAACCCACAATACTTAAGCTTAGACTTAGTTCAGTAAGCTACATGTCACAAGACAACTTAGACTTTGTTCTTTCCTTTTGCATTTGTCTTTGACCTAGTAATAGGTTGGCTGCTGGGACCCTCATAAGCTTTCTGAGAATGTTGAGTATTATTAATGGAGGGCTCAGGTTGAGAAGCAAACTTAAGTGAGCTTCTTGTGAATCTTGTCTTTCCAACTGGCTGTGATGTGGAAGTGCTCTGTTCTGCACTTTGTTTAGTAGCTTTCCTTGCTGCAGCTTTGTCCTTAGCCTTTGCAATCTTCTTACCAACCTTTGCACTTTTCTCAGCTGTAGTGAGTCCACCCTTACAGGTCTGCTTGTTGTGACCATAGGACTGACACTTAGAACATTGCACTTTTGTTGACTTTTTTCCTTTGTCTGGTTCATCAGTTGCCCTTTTCCTCTGTCTAGATGGCCTACCAATGGCTCTTGTCATTTGTGGTGGTAGGATTGTGGGCATGTCAATCTCTGGCCAGTGCTCAAAATCAGGTACAGAGTGAATAGAGTTGGCATAAGCTTGCTTATATGTTTGGACTGAGAACCATGTGCTGTAGAAGTTGTAAGGGTTCAATCCAGCAACCAATATTGCTCTAATTGCATGTTTGCAAGGCAAACCATGTTTTTTCCATAAACCACAAATACAAGTTTTTTTTGTTAAGTGATACAGGAAGCATAGACTTCCCATCCCTCACTTCATATTCACCCTCCCTTGATTGATAAGCTTTGCAAGTTCTTGATTAAAAGGTCAATACCCTTATTCTCTTTACTATTTTTGGGCAAGGTTCATCTTCATTCCAACTGTTGCATTTTTGTCTTTTAGTTGATAGCCTCGCCATACACATTCTTCTTATACCTATTCAAGCATGATATGCTATGTAAGCAACATTATAGAAAATATAAATCAACATTAAAGCAAGTTACAAACCAAAAGTTATACCTTCTAATAGTGTTAAAATAGGCCTGCATCTATCCACACCCACTGAATTGAAACTCTCTACAAAGTTGGTCTTGTTTTCTTCATTTCATATCTTGGGATCAAATTTATGCCTTGTCCACCTTGACTGGTTCCCCAAATCAGCCAACCATTCACAAGCCTTAGGATTTACTGCCTTAATCCTATCCATGAAATTTTTAAATGTGAAAGGTGATGTGGCACTGCATGCTAACCAGAAGAGTGAATGCATCAAAGGGCCAGGAAATGCTCCTTTCCAATTTGCTGCTAAGTGTTTGCAGCAATACCTCCTGTCCACCTCAGGCCATATCTTAGTCAGTGTTGGATCTATTCCCTGTATACAAATACACGATAATAAGATTAGCTATTAGTTGCATTAAATTAACATCTTGTTGGATCAAATACCACATGAAGCTTACTTTTTGTCTGTATGAAATGATACACCAGTCATTACCCCTCCCAGACTCTGACAAGATCTTTTTCAAGTGCCAAAAGAAAAACTTCCATGTGTTAGCATTTTCCTTGGGAACTACAGCCCAAGCATAGGGAAAAAATTCATTGTTTCCATCTAATGCCACAAAAGATAGAAGAACCCCACCAAAATGGCCTTTCAAGTGGGCTCCATCAACTTCCACCAAAGTCTTACATCCTGCAATTACACCATCTATGGCAGCCTTGAATGAAATGAATATTGTTGAAAAGGTGAGGGCTGGATCAGGTGGATTCAGTTGCTTCCAAACACTGTGTGCCTTAGATCCTGGGTTGGTTGCTTTAACCATTTCACAGTATTTTGGCAAATGCCCAAAAGAAGTATCATGCCCACCATTTATCTGCCTCAAAGCCACCCCTCTCATCTTATAAAGAGTACTTGTTTCCATTACCACACCATATCTGATCTTCCACCCTTGCACTGTCATCTACCACCTGATCTTCCCTCTCCTGCCTATTCCTAACTGCTTCATTGAACACAAACTTAGTCATCACCATTGCCTCAACCACAGTATTATTATTCTGAGAACCTTGCTTCCTAGCAGCTGTAGTCTTTGGAATTTTGTGTAAGACATTAGGAAAGGGTGTTGGAATGTCAACATTTTCTGTTTGAGGAACAATAGGGGCATTTGAGAAAGTTTCTTGTGGGGTTATGGTTTCTGAACTAGTGCCTACTTGTAGCTTTCTCTTGACAGGTAATTTCTTACTTTTCTTAGATTTAGGTGCAATATTTCTTTTCCCCTTTTGTTGAATCTGCTTTTCGATCATATTCATCTTCCTCTTCAGTTGGTGCATTGTAATCTAACTCAGCTTCTATCCTAATATGATGTAATCATCACTTTCAAGATTTCCTACAATCCAACGTTTATCAAGATCATTTAACCCCTCATTTACTGAGACTGTTCCTTTTCTAGAATATTCAAGTTTTTAGGTGGGCTATCAGGGTTGTTTTTGTTCAGTGTTTCAGCAAGTTTTCTAGCAGCAATAACACAATCACTAGGTTTATCTCCAAACCCAATCCAAATAGTAATCTCTTCCCTATCCTTCAATCTATCCAGCATACTCATTAGATCACTATCCGAAGTAATGTTAACATCTTTCATTTTATAACAGTAGTGAAACTTAGGGAATTTAGGGAAGTCATAGTTGTTTTTCCTAAACCTTTCCTCACACTCAATGATCAAATCAATCCACATGATTTTGTCCACATCTTCAACAAAAACATCAATTACATTACCCATATGAGCAAACTTAAGCATAACTTGATCCATTCTGCAACATAACAACTAGACGCATAAATTTAAACATCAAACACCCACATACAAGCATAAAGTTATCATCTTTAATCAACATATACACACACAACAAAAAACAGAGCACCTAACTTCTGCAAGTCTAAATAAAATCAAAAAACTGTAATATTTAAAGACATACCTTGCTTAAGGTCTGTATAGTACTTAGCAACTCCTAGGATGTCCACGATTGTCCGAATTCTGCTTCAAATCCCACCAAAACCCCTAAATTTTGCTCCCCCAAATTTGCCAAATTTCGATCTTCACTAAACCCTTAATCTCTACCAATTTCTCAATAATTTCGAAAAAAAAAACGTCAATCAGTTGTGTTTGTTTCACCCTAATTAAAACACACACAGTTTCAGTTGTGATTTGATGTTTGTTGAATGAAGAAGAAAGGTTTTGGGATTTTTGATGGATGAATGTCGAGGAACAGTGCAGTGTGGTTGGCATTAATGAAAAAGGGGAGGGGATGCATTAAATCAGGGGTAGGTTAGTCATTTTATCTACTTTAGTTAAAAAAGTAGCCATTTAGGAGATGGTTAGCACCTTTAATGACAATTAGGCCACTAATTGTAAATTAAAAAAAATAAGATGACACTTTAGAGATTCGAAAAAAAATCGTCTCCCACGTGGAAAACTTAAAAGTAGGAGGCCACCAAATTTTTTGTAGCGGGTTTGTAAACATTCAAAGATTAAAGGAACTTCAAGTTCTTAGGTATGAGTATTTCATGTCCAACTTATTCAACATTCCTATATATCCAACTTCATTAAGGCGTATAATAGTATATATGTAATCATATTCAAATCACACATCAATAATTATTTCAACATTGAAAGTGGCAGTATGTTTCATAATAGGTTCCACTCATAAAGTTACAGACAATATGACCATATATGGTACATACCAAATTAATGTCAATCATAATGCATGTACATGAGATAGTTCAACTACCTCGTGGTATGATTTTATATGGCTTTAGTAGGCATTTATAGTTATTGTCATATATGTTCTGTTTCAAAAGTGAATTGAAACCAATAAATTTGTCTTTGTGCAAATGGATTGTGATGACAGAAATAATGTTAAGAGATGCAAGGAGACTAGCTCAGTAACCAGAGAATAATTGAAAAGGAGGCAGAATAAGAGGGAGAATATTAGGTCATTTCTCATTATTCCTCAAGGACTGATTACAACAGTTTATATATTAGCTAGAAGACAAGAGTGGCAGCTAATCCTTACAGCTAATCATTGCCTAGCATTCACTAGAATCATCCTAGAAAACATCACACAAAATATCCTAACAACTAGCTGCTATGACTGTATATATTACCCTTGTAGCTGTATATTAGCTTATATTAACCTCATTACCCCCCCTCAAGCTGAGAGGCAGGTGAAGATTTGACTCCCAACTTGAGTAGAAGACCATTGTGCTGCTTAACTGGCAGAATTTTGGTGAAGACATCTGCTAGCTGATTTGTTGAGGAAACATATTGTGGTTCAATATCTCCAGCCTTGACCATATCCCTAACATAGTGACAGTCTATTTCCACATGTTTGGTCCTTTCATGCACTACAGGGTTTGCTGCAATTGCTAAGGCTGCCTTGTTGTCACATTTAAGCACAGTCTTAGCTAAGTGAGATAAATTCATATCTTTTAGCAAAGCTTTAATCCAAGTTACTTCACATGCTGTAAGAGCCATTTCCCTGTATTCAGCTTCAGATGATGAACGATCCACCACTGGTTGCTTCTTAGATTTCCAGGATATAGGGGAAACACCAAGGAGTATGCAATAACCTGTGGTGGATCTCCTGGAAATTGGACAACTTGCCCAATCACTGTCACAATATGCAATGAGAATGGTAGCAGAAGCAGAAGCTAGTAATATGCCTGAGAACAAGTACCAGCTAGGTATCTAAGGAGCCTCTTTGTAGCTTGCATATGCACTGTGGTTGGTGAATGCATGAACTGGCTTAGATTCTGGACAGTAAAAGAGATATCAGGTCTGGTGACAGTTAAGTATATGAGCTTCCCAAGGAGCTGCTGATATGGGTAGGATTTGACAAAGGATCACCTTTGCTATCACTCATTTTTAAGTGAGTATCCATTGGCAATTTCAAGGGCTTTACATTAAGTATGTTGTACTCTGTTAGCAAGTCTGTTGTGTATTTCTTCTGAGAAATAAAAATTCCCTGATCTGATCTGTCTATTTCTAGACCAAGGAAATATCTCAGTGGCCCCAGATTCTTCATGTGAAACTTTGATGACAAAAGAAGCTTGACCTCATCAATGTCTTATTCAGAGTTACCAGTGATCAAGAGATCATCTACATAGACTAGTACAACAGTGAAGTTATTGTTCAGACATCTAGTAAATAGACTATAATCTTCCTTAGACTGTGTGAACCCAAAGGATATAATAGTCTCAGAAAGTTTAGAAAACCATTGCCTAGGTGCCTGCTTTAATCCATATAAGGATTTTTTAAGCTTATAGACCAAATGAGAGGTCTTGCAGGGAGCAGAAGCACTTGAATCAACTTGAATTATGTGCCCAAAAGAGAAATACCCTGGGGGGATTGACATATAAACATCTTCCAGCAAGTCACCATGCAGATTAGCATTGGTCACATCCATTTGGGTGGTGTTCCAATTATACATAGAAGCCATAGCTAAGATTGTCCTTACAGTTGTCATTTTGGCATCAGGGGCAAAGGTTTCCTTGTAATCTATGCAAAATTGTTGTCTGTTACCTAAAACCATAATTCTTGCCTTATGTCTATCAATGGTGCCATCAGATTTGAACTTTATTTTATACACCCATTTGCTTCCTATGACCTTCTTTCCAGGTGGCAGAGTTGTGACCTCCCAAGTACCATTAAGTTTACACTGAGAAAGCTCTAGGTTCATAGCTGCAACCCATTGATCAGATTGCACAACATGTTTGTAGTGGACTGGATCAGTGGTGCTTTCAAGAGTAGAAAGAAAACAGTAGAATTCAGGGAAAACCTGCTGGTTTGCAAAATTGGCTATTTGCTGATTTTTGTTTTTATTTTTTGGCTGAACATAGTCTCTCATCCAGTAAGGCTGTTTTGATGGTCTATGGCTTTGTCTGGGAGGTGGTGGTGGAGGTGGTGGGGGATAAGTGTTTTGGTTTGTGTTTGAGCTTGTGTTTGGGGATTGATTTTGTGCATCAGTATCATTGTCATCATCAGACAAAGTCTGATTTTCATGAATGTCATTTTGTGCACCCAAGGGAACAGGACAGTCATAAAAAAAGATAGGGTAATGATTCTAGTTAGGAAAGGGTACTGGTAGGGGTTTCATGAGCTGATCAAGAGAGGAAAGTTGGAAAGGAAAGATGGTTTCATGAAACACAACATCTCTAGACACAAAGATCTTCTTATTTGACAAATCAAGGAGTCTGTACCCTTTTTGAGTAGCTGGATATCCCAAGAATACACATGGCAAACCTCTGGGTTGAAGTTTATCTTTCTGAACTGAGTGTGTGTAAGCAAAAACTAAACACCCAAATACTTTCAAGTGATCATACTCAGGAACAGAGTTAAATAACATTTCAAATGGTGTTTTGTTATTTAAAACTGTGGTAGGCAATCTATTTATGATGTGTACAACAGTCATGACACATTCTCCCCAATAAGATAGCTCCAAACTAGCTTGAAATATGATGGCTCTTGCAATCTCAAGTATATGTCTGTGCTTTCTTTCCACCCTTGCATTCTGTTGTGGCCTGTCAACACAGGAAGTTTGATGCACAATTCCCATTTGGGCAAAAAACTCTTGGCATGGCCCATCATCAAATTCAAGGGCATTGTCTGACCTAAGAACTTTGATTTTCTTCTCAAACTGAGTGAGAGCATAATTATAGAAAGACTTGAATTGTGCCAGAGAATCAGATTTTTGCTCCAATAAATACACCCATGTCATTCTTGAATAGTCATCCACCAAAGTGAGAAAATATCTGTATTTTCTTCTAGTACATACTTTGTGGGCCCCAAATGTCCATATGAACCACTTCAAATGGTTCCTTAGCATAAGATGTACTCAACTGATAAGGCTGCTTAGTGAATTTAGCCAGGGGACAGGTCACACAAACTTGGCTATTTTATGTTATTGTCTTCTTAACACATTCAATATGCTTCAGTTTGCTGAGTGAAGCATGTCCTAGTCTGTGATGCCACACAGCAAAAGGAACACTCTCAGTCTTTGATGAGATTGCTAAGTCTAGATGTTCATCACCATCATTCTCATTGTTGCCTGTCAGTTGAAGAATATTGGAACTTTGATCAGTAGAGCCATTAATCAAGTAGTAAAGGCCATTTTTCACCTTTCCCAGCCCCTTGATCTTCTTTGATTTTATATCTCTTATTACACAATGTGTTCCATAGATGACCACTTCACACTGAGAATCTTTGATCAACTTGTTTACAGACAACAAGTTATGCTTGAAGTTAGGAACACATAACACATTCCTAAGGGTCAGAGAGTTAGGAAGTTCCATAGATCCTATGTGTGATATTCTTGAAGTTTCACCAGTTGGAAAATTTATCTTGAGCTAAGAGAGAACAGGTTGAAATTCACTGAGATTTTGAAGGTTAGAAGTCATGTGGTCAGATGCACCTGAATCAATTATCCAGTCATTTGACACTTTGATTGCATTACAGCAGGACACCATACCAGAGAAGTTCTCTAGCTCTTCATCAGTGTCATCCCCCCTATGCTGGGATGCAGCATTTGCTGAGGGAATATTCTGAAGCAATTTTTCAAATTGTGCTTGAGTTAGGGTTATAGAACCAGAACTACTAGTGCCTGCACTCTAAGCAACAACTGCTAACTTAGGACCTTGCCTAGTCCATTTCTGTTCATTCTGTCTGGGAATTGGCTTTGCCGTGCTTGGTTTGTATTTATGATGCCAAGTTGGATACCCAACTAATAACCAAAACCTATCTGAACTATGCCCTTTCCTCCCACAAGTACTACAAAGAGGAAGTCTATTAGCAGAACCAGGAGTAGGATAAGTAGCAGAATTTCTGCTGTACATTGCTGAGAATCAGGCTTATTCTTGCTTATGAGTCAGGCTCATTCTTGCCTATGAGCAGGCTCATTCAGGCTCATTCTTGCCTATGAGCAGGATTTCTTTTTGACTCTCTTCTTGTTGCAGCATGGAACAAGCAGATTCAACAGTAGGGAGGGGTGTGAGTAGATCTGGCAAATGGGTCATTCAGGTCGGGTCATTTCGGGTCGGGTCAAGTTCGGGTCGGGTCGGGTCATTTCGGGTTTCGGGTTGATTTCGGGTTGACTGATAATCGGGTCAGGTCGGGTATTGGGTCAATAGTTTGGGTCGAGTTCGGGTTTGGGTCAAGTTTGGGTCGGGTCAGTTCGGGTCAGGTCAATTTTCGGGTCCAATTCCGGGTCAACTTCTAGTCGAGTCAATTCGGGTGATTCATTGGATTAAATTCAACTCTGTATATATATTTATTTATTTTTTGACGAAAAACTCACTATATTTATTAAGGCTATTTTTTTCATGGATTATAATAATTGTTTGACTTTTATTAACTTTTTTTTTTTTTTTTTTGTGTTTAAAACTTTAGGCTAAGAATCACTTTCAGGATCTCCTGAAACTAAGAAGAACTAATTGAGTTATACCTCACTCTCTTATTGATCTTAGTTTTAATACGTACTCTTATTATCATTGTCATTGTTGTAATAATTTCTTTGAATTATTCTTGTACTCCCTTCGTCCCAAATTACTCTTAACGATTTGACATTTTGCACTATTCACACATCTCACTTTGACCATCTTTTTTAGCTATTATATGAAAGTCAATGTAGTCATGTAAGATGTTGTTGGGTCTATTTTAATGTATAATTTCCTAATATAAACTTTTTATACTACCTCCTGTTTAGGGTAATTTTACCCTGCCGCGTGGCCCAATCAGAAGGTGACACGTGTCACCCCAGATTGGTCTAAAATGGACCAATCCCTGCCAAACACGTGTCATTCCCGAAATCAAGGGAAAAGGCGGCCTTCAGGCCCAAATCCCGAGAATGCCGCCAAACGGCGCAGCCCACCAATGATTAGGGTTCAGTAACCTAATCAGGGGCACAATTCCCAAAGACCCTATAAATAGGGAGATGTCCCTCATTTTGAGGGCACGTTTGATCATTTATTACACATTGACTCTTCGATAGAGACATCCTGAGCTTGGAATCCGAGCAGATCCCTACCTAAATTTCCGTACCTTTTTTCTCCCTTCAAGTTTCTAACTTGTGCGTCGGAGGCGGAGCACCACCCAACTGGTGTCTCCGTTTGTTTTGCAGGTACAGCTCACCCCGGATCAGTCTTCGTGTTGTAACTCTCCCAAGGGACAAAAACACCCAAAACACCTCCGTTAACTTTTATTTGTAACTTTGGGGTATTATTTGTGAGATATAAAATATTCCAAAATTGCAAATAAAGTTAACGGAGGTAGTAACTTATATTATTATTTACTAAAAGAAGTTAAAGGTCGGGTCATTTTCGGGTCGGGTCAACTTCGGGTCGGGTCGTTTCGGGTCTCGGGTCAACTTTGGGTCGGGTCATCTCGGGTCGGGTCGTTTCGGGTTGGGTCATTTCGGGTTTCGGGTCAAGGTCGGGTCAGTTCCACTTCGGATCGGGTATGGGTCGGGTCGGGTTAATTCGAGTTTTGGGTCAATTTCGGGTCACTGGTTTCGGGTCATGGGTCGGGTCACTCGGGTCGGGTCATCGGTTCTGGGTCAGGATTGCCAGGTCTAGGTGTGAGCATCAAAATGTGACTTCTCATAGCAGCATAACATTTATCTAACCCATTTAGAAATTGAAACAATTTGCTTTCTTCTTAGAACTTAGCAATGGCATTTAAAAGATTTCTGACCTCGGCATTACCATCAGAAACAGAGGCAAGATATTCATAGCATCAAGTTCTTCCCATAGACTAGACATACCAGTATAATATGCATTGGCAGATTCATTGTTCTGTTTCAAATTATAGATATCCTTGTTTAGCCTATATTTTCTAGAACCATTGGACATGGAGAATCGTTTTTCAAGCTGAACCTAAGTTTCTCTAGTAGTGTTGACATACAAAACAATTTTTTTTTTTAATATTATCTAATAAGCAAGCATGGATCCAAGAAATTACCATTGAGTTGCATGTATCCTATTGTTTTGATTTTGCAGCATCCTCGGCATATGTAGATCTGAGAACTGAGCCTGTAACAAAGCCCAGTTTCTTCTTTGATGAAAGTGCTATCTCCATTGAACGTTTCCAGGATCTGTAATCAGCTGCTCCTGTAAGATTATCAACAAATATGGAGTAAGACCCATCATTGGGATGAAGATACAAAGGACTGGCAGTGTCAGCCATTATAAAACGAGAAAGAGAGGATTTTTATGAAGAAAAAAACAAGGAGCAACAGAAAAAAATAGATTTTTAACAAATGAGATGACCAGAAATACATATGTGAGCAATAAAGTCTCGATTTTGCATCAAAGCTCTGATACCATGATGACATAAATAATATTAAGAGATGCAAGGAGACTAGCTCAGTAATCAGAGAATAATAGAAAAGGAGGCAGAATAAGAGGGAGAATATTAGGTCATTTCTCATTATTCCTCAAGGACTGATTACATCAGTTTATATACTAGCTAGAAGACAAGAGTGGCAGCCAATCCTTACAGCTAATCATTGCCTAGCATTCACTAGAATCATCCTAGAAAACATCACACAAAATATCCTAACAACTAGCTGCTATGACTGTATTACCCTTGTAGCTGTATATTAGCTTATATTAACCTCATTAGATTGTTTTCCCTTCCAAACTTAATTAAGCTCATTCTCTCCATTCCAAACTTATAGTTTTCAACTATTCTTATATGATTTTATTTACTGCACCTTGGTGGTCCAGACACAATTACTGTTCTGGCAATGGAGGATAATGAGCTGTGGCGCAGGCACGCTCTTCAGCTGGCTACCCAGGTACTCGTGACTATTTATGTGTTTGTAAGATCATTGCGACGTAATTCTTTGTGGATACCCACGATTCTCATGTTTGTAGTTGGATTTAACAAATATTATGAGCGCACTTGTGCTTTGTTTTACGCCAGCAGTGACAATTTTAGGGACTCCCTCAGGACCCCACCTGAACCTGGGCCTAACTATGCTAGGCTAATGGAAGAGTATTTTTCTGCTAAATGTGCTCATATTCCTTCTGAATTTGATGTTGAACATGGTCAATCAGAAAATTTGGACCAAAAATCGCAGGGAGATGGAGGTCTAGACGAGAATGGTGAAAGCAATAATGGTGGTAATAACACGGCACTTCTGAGGAAACAGATCCAAATTATTTTATGAAGATAGTAAGAGAAGCTCACGAATTCTATGAAATGTTCAAACCCCTTCTCGCTGATGGGTTTTTGAGCTTAAAGGATGGTGAACGACGTCGAAACTTTATTTTGAAAAGGTCTTTAAAAGAAGCTTTTGAAATCATGCAGATTGAGCTCAACTTAATCTATGATATCTTTTATACCAAGTCATTTTTGTTGCTAAAGAAACGTGCATTTGTTCGCGTTTTATGCTTTTTATTGGTTATTGCATCCTTATTGATGTTCTCTTTCAGATGGGACATCAAACACCATGTGTCTGATGCTATAATAACGTTGTCCTTGCTTGTTGGGGCTGTAGCATTGGATATATGTGCTGGTGTTATGTTTGTATTGTCAGATTGGTGGATTATTATCACACACGGTGTAAAAATAAACAGATACCATGAAGTTCTTATGCCGTTCTTAAGGTGGTCGAAATGTATAAGGCAACCTAGCTCCCAAAGATGGTCACAATCCATCTCCAAATACAACCTGTTAAAACGCTGCTTCAGGAATCCCCCTTCTTTGCTCGACTCTAAGTGTATTGTTGATTTGTTGGTATAAAGCACATTCGTGATTCTCTTTATGGATTTGTCTATGTTGAAGGATGTAAGGCTGAAGAGAAGCTTATTGATTTTGTCATGAAAGAGCTACATCAGAAAGCAGTACTAGCTTCTGATATAGTGGTGGCGAAGGATGTATTTTCTGCTAGAGGTGAATAGGTTTTGCAAGATGACTATTTCCTTGCCTCCGAGTGCTTAAGTCCATGGACTGTAGATATTGATTATGACGAAATTCTGTTGATTTGGCACCTTGCGACCGATATCTGCTCCTGGACTGCTAGCAGCAACAACCAAAGTCAAGAGACCAAAGATTATAAACTCATCAGCAAGTCACTCTCAGATTACATGTTGTATCTTGTAATGTCGCAGCAAAAGCTTCTTTCTTCTGTGGTTGGTATGTCGGATACTCGGTTTGAAGACACTTGTGCTGAAGCCTTGAAGTTAATGAATTATGAGAAATTGAGTATCAGCTGGTTTGTAGGTGGTGGTGGAAGGCTAAGAAGTGTTGTTGCCAATCAGGTGAAAATCCTTCACAAGTCCAAGAAGCTGAATTTTTCAAGAAGTTTAGTGAGCGGGTGCTTGAAGTAAAAGCAGATGTTAAGCCTATTGTTGCCAAGGATGATAAAAGTAAATCAGTCCTCTTGGATGCATGTCGTCTAGATAAGCAACTGCAGTTGTTTGGAGAAAAAGAGCAATGGAAGATAACCAGCAAGGTTTGGGTGGAGCTGCTTTGTTATGCTGCTGTCCGTTGCTCGCCAAGAAGTCATATTGCTCAATTGAGCCAAGGTAGGGAGCTCATTACATTTGTGTGGTTGTATATGGCTCATCTTGGCTTAGGGGAGCGCTTCTTGTAAAACCAGGGATTTGGTCGGACCAAACTTATTATTCACAAATGACTACTCAGTACTTACAGGTTATATAGTCATAATAAGCACAATCCCTTGTACCACATATTGTCTCCACACACAATTTCCTTATTTTTAGCTATATTTTCACGTCATATATGAATTGTAATTGAGTTGTATCATTATTAGTAGAATTGATGTTAAAGATATATTCAGAATTATTTATTTTATTACTTGCTCAATAACTAGTTGTGAGTTGAATAACAAGCTAAGAGTATATTTTATATTATTAAAATAATAGACTTATTTTTTTTTTTTTTTTTGAGGGAAAAAATAATAGACTTCTAATACAATATATTTGTGCTATTATGAAAAGTTGAATTATTTCATATACTTCAGTAATATCTTAGGGTGTTATTCTAGTTCTAATATACTAGGTAATTTCTATTGTGGGTTATGTATTATAGAAATATCTTTTGTTATAAGATATGATATTCTAGGTTACGAATAACTCATCTCCCAACGCTATTTAATATAACTGAAAGCTGAAAACAAAAAACAATGTCAAACAATCCCTTAGTTCGAGTTTAAGTTTTTATGTGCAATAATAGAAATATTTTTGAAAGGCTCAAACACTTATGCTATATAACTCGTCTATTTATACACTTGTAGTGACATAGTGTACACTATTGTTAGATGTATTATTTTCTTACTTTTATCTTTGGAAAAAGGCATTTTGAAGGGAAAAAGAGTGCTTATTGTAATTGGGTAACTGAAAGGTTAGTGAGCAGGGAGCATTTGTGAGGTCAAGTGCGAAAGAGTGCACATCTATAATTAGGCGTGAGAGATTGTTTGTCTCAAGTAGGCTAGCAATCGTGTTGTAAATACTTTTTTCTAAAAATTATTTGGAGTAAATTAAGTAATTAGGTTAGGGAGGACATAGACTTTGAGCTAAATTGAACCTTAGTAACTTATGTGTTCGTTACTATCCATGTTATTCTTTAACTATATATGTTTGCTACAGGGCCGTCCCAACCAATTTAGGGGCCCTGTGCTATTTTTAAATTAGGCCCCGATGATTTAAAACGTATAATTTTAAATATGAAATTATACTTTATAGTTTTTTAACTCATTGCTTTTAGCCTTTTTTTTTTACATGATAAAACGCATAACACTAATGTTTGTATTATTAAGTTTATGAATTTGATAATAGCATTTCATTTTTAAGTTTAATCCGTATATTTCCTTTTTTTTTTGAGAGAAACTATATGTATTTATTAATTTTTTTTTGAATCAATATGTTATCAATTAATTAACCTAAAATGTAAAGTTTGATTAGTTTGTTTATTTTTTTATTTTAACAAAAAATAGCAAAAAAAAAAAAAAAAGAAAGATAAGAAGGAAAGAAAAGAAAAGAGAATGGCAGATATTTTAAAAATGTATAAAAAAAAAAACAAAAAACATGGTGCTTGAACCTCGGCACAACAACCCAAGACTAAATGATTTCAGTGATTGACTGCTACCAACTTTGCAAATTCCACTTGCATAGCACATTCAACATTAATTTTTGTTATATCAGTAACAATTTTTTTTTCAATTGGGGGCCCTCTTTATTTCGGGGCCATGTGCTATGGGTCTCTTTGCACAGGCCCATAACCGGCCTTGGTTTGCTATGTATGAAGGATCAGGTTCTGTTGGGCCCATATTACCACACGACGCATTGTACTTAGGGCACCAATCCAAGATCAATAAATCAGCAAGAATATGCAAAACGGCTTAATTGGAATAAACAAGGAAAGCATCACCAAGCATATCAATCAAGGAGATACTTGCCAAAGATACACCTACAGAACAGGGAACAAGATAAATCAAGAAGATCTTATACATCTCAAATATATTCCGAATATATTTGTAAACCCTAGAGATCCCTAGGTATAAATAAGAAGAATTAAGCATTTTAACACTCATGTACGTTCGCATATACTTAAATATAAACAATTTTCTCTACTTTTATCTACGGGATTGCATCCCTACTGAACAAGGAAGCTTGCCCTTACTCTGTATTGTATCTCTAAACTCATCTTCTTTATATAATTGATAATTTACTGCTTACTTATTGATTACTTATTGATTTATCATCGTTCTTAGTTGTTTTATATGCTGTTGGTAGAATGATTGTTATTACCCCTCAAACCTAGCAAATTCTTAGATGTCTTTATTGAGATTTGCCTAAACAATTTGGCGCCCACCGTGGGGCTGATAATCAATTAACCTACCAATTCGCCAAAAAACCAAGACAAACACCATGATTGGGCAACCAATACCCTTTACCATTGCCGAAATTAATGAAGGAATGAACGCATTCCGCCAAACTTTAGACCAGCAGAAAAGCCAAATTGAAACACCGCTGGCTCAAAAAGTCCAAACTGAAGCCAAACTCACCAGCCTTACCAAACAAAATGAAGCCCTTCGTAGCCAAATACAATCAGTCGCATCTAAAACCGTTAACACCAATAGAAAATAGAGAATATTCAAATATAGAAAGAAAAGAAAAAAGAAAGACTTCTTCACCCGAAAGGGCCTTTTTAATTCCCACGGCCTGGCCTAATCCGTCCCTCGCCAGGCCCTTTTGTTTTAACGGATTCATAGAATCTAGACTAAAGAAAACTATTTATTTGATTTTGATAATGATAAAAAATGCTTGTTATTAAAACAAAAGCACAATAATAAAATAGAACCAACAAAGAGCACTGAAAGTATAGCCATGCAGCTTGACATGTTCGGAACCTTTCACACCCCTAACGGGGAAAAAAGATCTAACAACAGGGAAGCAACCCTGTATCTAGACTTTTTGGATGCATGAAAATTCAAGAAGAACAATCAGGAAGGAGCCGAAGAGGGAAAGGTAGAGAAGATGGTCAAAGAATACCTCAAGGCGATCGAAGCCAAAATCGCCAAAATTCCTGGAATGCCGAAGCCCATGGAAGAGGAGGTAGCAGATGGTTATATAGAATCTCCTTTCTCAGAAGAGATCGCCATGGTAGAAGTGCCGAAGAGGTTCAGCACGCCCAATATGACCATGTACGATGGAACAACGGACCCCGATGAGCATGTATCCCTTTACAAGCAGAAGATGATGACAAGCTCAATCCCTAGAGACATCAGAGAGCCTATTATGTGCAAAGGCTTTGGAGCCACGATATCAGGTCCAGCTCTAACTTAGTTCATTAATTTAGATAATGGGACAATTCGATCTTTTGTAGGAATGGTGAACCTATTCAAGATCCAGTTTGCTAGCAGCAGAAAAATCGAGAAGCAGTCTTCAGACTTGTACCGTGTTGTGCAGAGACATGGTGAATCCTTGAGAGATTATCTTAACAGGTTCAACAGGGAAAAGATTGGGATACATAAGTGTAATGCTCCCACAACAATCGAAGCATTCAAAAGAGGATTTCTAGACCATAGTGAGCTCTACAAGGAGTTGACCAAATATCCCTGTACAACCTTTGAAGATGTGCAAGCCAAAGCTATGGCTCAAGTCAAATTTGAGGAAGATGCGTATGCAAGAAAGACTCCCGAGCCAGATCGCCAGTCAAGAAGGAACAACAATTTTCCTAGAAGGGATCATCGATTCAAGCCGTATCATCGTTCCCGCTTTGATGAGGGATCAATCAATGCTGTCGAAGAAGAATTTTCTGATTGGAGGGAAGATCCTGAACTCCCACCTAAGTTACATGAGTATTGCTTCAATGTTAACCCTGCAGGAGTAATTAGGACCCTAAATAAGATGGGAGATACCGTGCAATGGCCTAGGAGGAGTTACAGGCCTGGAGAGAAGAAAGATCCATCCAGATGGTGTGATTTCCATTCAGATATCGGCCACACTACTGATGAATGCGTCGCTCTCAGAAAGGAAGTTGCATACCTGCTAAAAAAGGGCTACCTCAAAGAACTCTTGTCGGATAGATCTAAAGCTTCAGGGAAAGAAAGAGAATCTAAGCAAGGAGGTCCTCCACCTCCGCCTCCAATTGTCAAAACCATCTGTTTCATATAAGGAGGATCGAAAGTATGTGGTTTAACATACTCATCAGCAAAGCGGCATGCAAAGGAGAGTAACAAAGATCAACCTGACAAGAAGGAGAAGTCTAAGATAGACATTCCCATCATGTTTGAAGAAAGCGATGTGGTAGAAGGCCATCATGACGGCCTAGTGATTTCACTCCCAGTTGGAAACTGCATGATCAAGCGAATCCTAGTTGACAACGGAAGCTCTGCAAACATCATCATGCTTGATACTCTGAAACATATGAACATAGACGAAAAGAACATCGTCAACAAGTCAACAATGTTAGTAGGATTCAGTGGGGAAACCAAGAAGACAAGTGGAGAGATTACATTGGCCACGTACGCAAAAGGAATCAACCTACAAGTCAAGTTCCGAGTGATTGACACTCTATCTTCGTACAATATGATCTTAGGCAGACCCTGGATACATGAGATGAAGGCCATCCCCTCTACGTACCACCAAGTCATTAAGTTTCCTACTAGGTGGGGTATTCAAGAAATTAGAGGAGATCCTAGGGAAGCCAAGGAATGCTACAAAATCGCACTAAAAGCAACATTTGCAGAAAAGAGTTTAGCATAGCAATCAGAGGGTCAACTGAGCCAAGAAAAGTTGAGAATAGCAGAAGAACAAGAGTTGAACCCCAAACATCCAGACCAAAAGGTCAGAATAGGATCAGAATTGAAGTCAGAACTCAAACAACAAATATATGACTTTTTAGAAGAGGAAAAAGGTGTATTCGCTTGGACCCACGAAGACATGAAAGACATCTCTCCATACGTAATTACTCACAAGCTGAATGTAGATCCACTACAAACACCAGTAAAGCAGAAGAGGAGGAAATTTGCGCCAGAAAGGAACAAGATTATTAATGAAGAAATCCAAAACCTATTGAAGACTAGAAAGATAAGAGAAGTAAAGTACCCAGAATGGATTGCTAATGTAGTAGTAGTCAGGAAGAACGGAAAATGGCGCATCTGTATAGACTTCACAAATATCAACAAGGCGTGCCCAAAAGATCCGTTCCCTCTACCTCATATTGATGCCATACGCCACAACAGGGCATGAATTACTATCCTTCATGGACGCGTACAGTGGTTACAATCAAATCCTCATGCACAAGGATGACCAAGAGAAAACTGCTTTCATTACTAGTCAAGGAATATACCGCTACAAAGTAATGCCTTTTGGATTAAAGAACGCAGGAGAAACATATCAAAGGTTGGTGAACAAGATGTTTGAAGAGCAAATAGGGAATACAATAGAGGTCTACATAGACGACATGGTAGTTAAGTCCAAAAAGGCAGAAGATCACGTCAGAGACCTTAGAGAAGCATTTGCCATCCTGAAGCAGTATGACATGAAGTTGAACCCCACAAAATGCACATTTGGAGTACAGTCAGGAAAGTTCCTAGGATACATGGTTACGCAAAGAGGAATAGAAGCCAGCCCAGACCAAGTTAAAGCCATCCTAGACCTAGAGCGACCAAAGTCAAAGAAGGATGTACAGAGCTTAACAGGGAAAATTGCAGCATTGAATAGGTTCATTTCAAAATCTTCAGACAAGAACGGAACCTTTTACGAAGTACTGAAGAAGAATAAGGAATTCAAGTGGGAACAAGAGCACGACGAAGCATTCTAGAAGCTGAAAGAATACTTGGCCAACCCGTTGATTCTTTCTAACCCTAAAGAAGGAGAGCCACTCCAGCTGTACCTCGCAGTGTCTGAAGGGACGATCAGTGCAGCCCTCACAAGAGAAGAGGATAAGGAGAAATTCCCAATCTACTACGTAAGCAAAACCCTACTCAGTATGGAAACGAGGTATGCGTCATTAGAGAAGATCATTTTATCCTTAGTTACTACTTCAGTAAAGTTACGCCCATACTTTGAAAGCCACTCCATACGAGTACGCACCAACTACCCCATCAAAGCTATCATGAGAAAGCCAGAAATGTCAGGAAGGATGGAGAAATGGGCCTTACATCTGAGCAGGTATGATATACAGTACGAGCCCAGGACCGCAATCAAACCACAAGCCTTGGCAGACTTCGTAGCAGACTTCAGCCCAACTCTTGAGGAAGAAGCACAAAAAGAGGTATTGGCACTACAGGAACCAAAAGCTACACAGAAATGGATACTCCATACAGATGGCGCGTGGAGTAGGCCTAGGAGTAGTACTAACATCACCCCAAGGAGACAAGATAGCATAGGCAATAAGGCGCAACTTCAAGGCCACCAATAATGAAGCTGAGTATGAAGTGCTAATTACAGGATTAACAATTGCAAAGGACATGAAGATACAACATCTAGAGGAAATCTCAGACTCCTTACTCATGGTAAATCAAATCAATGGAGAATATGCAGCAAAGGATGTCAAGATGATAGCCTACCTGGAAGTCACAAAGAAGCTCATTAAGGAGTTCAAGGAATTTAAGATAGATCAAGTACCCAGAAACTTGAACACTGAAGCAGACGCCCTAGCAAACTTAGGATTGAACACTGAAGCAGACGCCCTAGCAAACTTAGGATCAAACATCAACCCAGAAGAATTCGGGGCTATCCCCCTAGTGCACGTACTCTCTCCAGCCATAGAAAAAGAATCATCTATGAGCATCTACGAAGTTCAAGCAAGCCCTACAGAGAAAGAAGACAACAACTGAACAACACCACTGAAAGAATATCCCTTGGACGAGACGAAACCAACAGGGAAAGTAGCAGCTCAAGCACTTGCTCAAAAAGCCTCCAAGTACTGCCTAATCAGCAATGTACTCTTTAAGAAATCTGCAGCAGGCCCCTTCTTACGATGCCTAGAAGAAAAGGAAGCACATCAGGTTTTACAGTCGTTACACAGCGGGGAATGCGGAAATCATTCTGGAGGAAGGAATTTAGCCAACAGAGCACTTAGAATGGGGTACTACTGGCCCAGCATAAGAAAGGACGCAGCAGAATTCGCCAATAAGTGCCTAGCATGCCAGAAACACGCACCCTTAACACACAAGCCATTAGAAGAGCTACACCCAACACTGACACCTTGGCCATTCATGAAGTGGGGAATGGATATAGTGAAACTACCCCCATCATCAGGATAGAGAGTATACTTCTTGGCAATGACAGACTTCTTTTCAAAATGGATCGAAGCAGAAGCATACAAGGAAATCAAGGATAAGCACGTCATCTCGTTTATAAAAAGAAACATCCTAAGTAGATTCGGGGTACCAGCAGAGATCATTACAGACAATGGATCCCAGTTCATCAGCAATAAGACTACAAAGTTCTGTAAGGAATGGAACATCTCCCTCATCACATCTACACCTAGGTACCCACAAGAAAATGGACAGGCAGTCAAGCAATAAAGTCTTTATAAATAACATGAAGAAAAGGCTGGAAGGAGCAAAAGGGAAATGGGCAGACGAACTACCCAACATACTATGGGCAGACAGAACAACTCCGAAAGGCGCCACAGGCCACACCCCATTTTCATTGGTGTACGGATGTGAAGCAGTGATCCCAACAGAGGTAGAGGTCCCCACAGCAAGGTACGGGTTAATGACAGAAGAAAGGAATCAAGAAGAATTAATTCACAACCTAGACACAGTGGAAGAACTTAGAGAAGACGCAAAAATGAGAATGGCAGCATATCAGCAAGAAGTAGCAAGATCCTTCAACAAGAATGTCAGAACAAAAGTCTTCAAGCTGGGAGATTGGGTTCTCAGAAAGGTATACGAAAATACCAGGGAAGTAAACGCAGGGAAACTAGCACCCAACTGGGAAGGACCTTTCGAGATCATTAAGGTGGTAGGCAATGGAGCCTACAGACTCAGAAATGCATAAGGAAAAGAGATACATCGAAGCTAGAATGCAACACACTTAAAGCTATATAATTTCTGAGGAGCGAAGGTACGTAGTTATCATTTCAATTTTGTCTCTTTTTACAAAAAGAAAAAACACAAAAAAAAACAGAAAAGCAAGCAAAAAACCAAAAAAAAAAAAAAGAAAAATAGAAAAACATAAAAACCTCCAACAACCAAAATCAGCACGAAAGGTACTCCTCTCTACTCACACTTTGTCAATTCAATTTATGATCATTACGAGTACTACATTGGCATCGAAGGGCCGTTGGGGAAACCCACGGTCACCCGTCACACTATTCTGTTTTGCAAGGAACAACACCTACACTACTAAGCAAGAGTGTAACATGTCATCACAGAGCAACGGTTAATCTGCCCTGCAAGGAACAAACCAACTGTCCCCATAGAACAAACAAACACATGTAAGCAACACTACATTCATATTACAACTGTAATACAATTGTAATACAACTGCAATACGATTGTAATACAACAATGATACAGTAAGAAACATAAATACAAGATCATCATAGCAAACAAGGCAGAATTACTTTGCAACTGGATAATTTGTCTGTTTTGTTGCTTTGCAACAAATTATCCAGCTACAAGATCCCTATGCCTAGCACGTTCAGTCTTCAGAGCATCAGTAGCAGCCTTGCACTTGTCAGAAAGGGAATCACGCTCCTTCTTCATAGCCTCATACACCCGATAAACTCTGACACTTTTCCCAGTACGCCCAAACAGGACTGAAGGCTCTGTAGAATACGGAATCAAGTAAGAGATGCGCAACCTGATATAATCATGATTATTAAATTTTGTTTTTTTCTTTTTTGGGAGTGTACCATACCTGGAAAGACTGCACAACAGCCTCTTGAGAAAGATGAGCAAAAGTCTGTGAGGATTGACGATCCTTGAAGGACGGAAACAGTAGGGTATCCACATGCGGAGCCAAGGATTCAAAAGAGAAATCAGCAGCGTCAACATCAATAGTCACCTCCAACTTCCTCTTAAGGCCAGTACGATGTGGAGGTAGAGGAGGACCGCTCTTTGGAGCAACCGATTTGAGAGGAACGACCTCCGTAGTTTGAGGAGAGGAACGATGTTTAAGGCGACCCAAGAGAGAGGACGAGCTAAGAAGGTCATGAGACCTTAGTGACCTCGAAGTATCTACAAGGAACATGGCAGAATTCAAAAAAGAATTCAGCAAGGAACACAACAAACATACTCAGCAAGGTACATAACCACCTCAGAAAGGACAAACAAACTGGAAACCAACTAAATTATTAACAAGGGCAAAACAGACTTGCAACAAAATACATCTACAAGGATTGACACAACAAAACACAACAAGCACATCAGAAAAGAGAAAAGCAAACCTTGAGACATAGTTGGGGCAACTTTCTGCTCAGAATCAGAATCGTCTAAGGACTTGATTGGGATAACCGCCTCTGGCTGCGTCAATTTGATGAAGGACCTCTCGTCTGCACTCAACTCGTACAACTTGTCTATCAGGGACGGAGACTGAGAACGCTGCTTCAATTTACTCACTGCAACCATCAAGCAAATAAGCCTAAATCAACAAAGAAGGAGAGCATAACACAGGAAAATAAGAAAACAAAATACCTTCAGCCTCAACAGTGTCAATAAAAAAATCACAATCATCACCCAACGAATCAATCCTCACAAAGAAGAACTTGTGATACCACTTCTTGTCAAACGCCTTCTCTAAGTCAG